TTAGTATTAAGCAATTGCTTAAGTAACTGCAAATGAAAAGCTGACGTAATAACCTGCAATGCACATATGATTGCAAACGTAAATTCAAACGAAAGTGCATATGTAAAGGCAAACGCAAATGCAAACATAAATACATTAGCAAATGCAAATGTAAATGCATGCGCAAATGCAAATGCAAATGCAAATGTAAATGAGAACGCAAATGCAAAAATAAATGCAAAAGCAAGTTTTGTTTTATTTGCAGACTGCAAATGTAAATGCAAATGCTGATGAAAATGCAAATGCATGTGTAAATACGAATGCAATCACAAACGCAAATACAAATGGAATTGCAAATGTAAATGCAAGCGCAAATGTAAATGCAATTGCAAACGCGAATGTTATTTTATATGCCATCGCAAATTCAAATGTAAATGCGTGAGCGAATGGAAACATTATTGCAATCGCAAAAGCAAATATGAATGCAAATGCAAATGCGAAAACAAAAGCATTCGCAACAACTAACGTAACTACAAACACAAATGCAACTTTCATTGCAAACGCGAATGCAAATGTAAATGCAATCGCAAATGAAAATGCAAATGCAAACGCGAATGCAAAAGCAAGTGCGGATGAGGATGCAAATGCAAACAAAAATGCAATGGCAAATGTTAATGTAAATGCAAACGCAAATGCAGATGCTTATGTAATTGCAAACTTATAGGCAAATGTAATCACAAACACGGATGCAAATGTAAAAGCAAGCGCAAATGTCAATACAAATGTGAATGCAAAAGCAAGTGCAAATGTTTATGTAAAGTCTGACAGTGTAGAAGCAATTATAAATGCAAATGTGAATGCAACCGCAAATGCAAATGCAAACGCAAATGCAAATATAAATATAAATGCATTTGCATAGAATTTGCGATTTTATCTACATTTGCATACGCGCTTGAGGGCACATTTACATCTGTGTTTATAATTAAGCCAGCTGTTGCATATACGCTTGCATTTGCGTTTGCAATTGTAATAGCATTCGCGTCTGTGTTTGCATGTAAATTGAAATGAGTTTACATATGCTTTTATATCTAGAAGTCGGTCTTACCTGCAGGTGCATTTGTGTTTGCATCCGCATTTGCATTGCAGTTTGCGTTTACATCCACATCTACCTTTGCATCTACATGGCTTGCGTTTATATCAATTCATATTGCGCATTTGCATCGCATTTGCGTTTGCAATTAATACTGCTTTCGCCGTTGCATTTACATTCCAATATGCGATTGCATTTAACACTAGAAAGACGGACGCAGTCATTTTGACTGTTTTCCATTTTCAAACATAAAAATAACTACGTATTTGAAGTCGCAGCTTCGTGAAATTTTTTGACTTTTTATACAACATATAAATGCGTAGATAAATCGTATTATTTGCTTTATCTCACTTTTATTTTCAATATTCTTACATGTTTTGCCTGCATGGACGGAAAACAGTCATTTTGACTGTTATAGAAATTTTACATTACAAACGGCTTTGTTATTGTATTGCAAATCGTTATCTCGCGTGCATTCATCTCCAATATGCGATAATGCATTTGTTATATAAGAATAACCGAATTTTGGTAAGTATTGACATTAGACCGTTCTTTTTCACGTAGTAACTTTCAGTATAACGCGTTGTTCAGATGATTTTTTAGAACTTATAAATAAAATGTCGAAGAGAAGTGAATTATTGCAAAAGCTAACAAACATAAGTGAAGAGTGTTCCGACATAGAATCAAATGCAGAAAATTGGGCACAATCATCAGAAGATGAATCGGATTATATTCCACGTGAATCATCTAATTCTGAGGGTAGCGATAAAGGTGATCACTATTGATGAAAATGAAAGTGCCATCAGTGTATGCAGGAGGGTGCTAAGTGGCTCAGGAACTGATGAAAGATTTCAAGAAACGAAAACCTCTCTCGATGGTACTGTATGGACCAAAATTGCCGAAGGTGGTACCTCAGGAAGGTCATCATCTGTGTTTTCAAGGGTGTGAAAGGGCCAACGAGCTTTGCAAAAAAGAATATTATTACAGGTGATCTTGTCAGTGCATTTTCATTGATAATAGATAATTATATTATCAAACACATAAAACAGTGCACAGAAGAAGAGGGCAGTCAAATTTTGGGGTACGATTGGACAACATCGTTACCGAAAATACGTGATTTTACTGGAATTTTATATGCTCGTGGGGCCTATGAGGCAAAAAATTTGAAATTGACTTATTTATGGTCAGCAAAGAAAACATGACAGATCAAAGGTAAAGAAAATATACCGTGAAATCCAGTTCACGTAGATGACCCCTGCAAATATTTTTCAATATTTTGGATTTGGCTGCGATAAATGCCTGGATTCTTTACAAAGAAGCGACAAGAATAAAAATCCAAAGAAAACAAATCCTTAGAGAACAGTTTTTGTTTGAATTGGCAGATCAGCTTTCTGCGGACTACACGACATCAACACAAAAAAATCAAAGAAAAATGATGACCCACAGACATCATGCAAATACCAGTAGTAATAAAAGAAAATTTTGCCAAATAAGACTTTGTAATAATAATAAAACTAATAATACGTGTCAAAGTTGCAACAAACATGTTTCCGGAAAATGTACTCATAATAAAAAGATCTCAAATTATATTTGCATGAATTGTAAAAATAATGAACTTTTTTTTCAGATGTACTATTTTTTTATTTTTAGCACACATAGATAATTTGTATAAATGTAAATAGTACATGAAATATTAAAAATTAATTTTAAACAAATTTCTAAACGCATTATTTATTTTTTTCACGACGCAGTCATTTTGACTGTTTTCAGGCAATGTAGGTATACTCAATTCGTCCGTCTTTCTAGTGTTAAAATACATTTATTACTTTTGCCACATCTTCAGAATTTACATCAGCATTTGCATTTAAAATAAATTTTAGTTTTTACATTTGCATTTGCGTTTACATTCACATTTGCATTCGCATTTGCGAGCAGATTTACATTTTTGTTTGTAATTACGTTAGCTGTTGCACAGGCCTATGCCTTTGCATTCACATGGGCATTTTCATTTGCAATCACATTCGATTTGCATTTGCTTAGACTTACAGTCGCATTTGCTTTAGCATTTACATTTGCGTTTGCATTTACATTTGCATTTGCGCTGCTATTTAAATTTATACTTGCATTCGCGTTTGCGTCTACAGTTGGATTTGCGCTTGCGTTTGCTATTAAATTTGCATCCGCTTTTACATTTGTATTTGCACTTGCATTTGCATTTACTTTTGCATTTGTTATTGCATTCGCATTTACATTTGCATTTGCGTTTTCATCTACATCTGTATTTGCGTTTATAAGATATATAGATAAAAACGCAAATACAAACACAATGCAAAAGCGAATGTTGATGTAAATACGGAGGCAAACGCAAATGTAAAAGTGAATGTAGACCAGAATATAAATGCAAACGCAAATAAATATGTAAATACAAACGCAAATGCAAATGTAAATGTTGATGTAAATGTGAACGCAAACGCAGATGTGAATGCAAACGCAAACGCAAATATAAATGCAAATGCAATCGTAGATAAAAACGCAATTGCAAACAGTATGCAAAGGCAAATGTAAATTTAAATTCAAGGGCAAACGCGAATGCAAATGTATTTTAAATGCAATCGCAAATGCAAATCTAAAGGCAAGGACAAATGCAAAAGCGATTGCAAACGCGAATGCTGATATAAGAGCAAATGCAAACGCACCTGACGTGATTGCAAAATACAAATGCCAATGCAAAAGCAAATGCAAATGCAACTGTGGGTGAAAATGCAAAAGCAAACACAAATGCAAAGACAAATGTTAATGTAAATGCAAAGGCAAGCACAAATGTAAATGCAAATGCAAATGCAGATTTAAATGCGAACGCAAATGCTTATGTATACGCAAGCGCAAATGCAAAATGTGATTGCAATCAAAAATGCAAATGACATTGCGAAAGCAAACGCAAATGCAAGTACAAGTGCTAACGCAAATTTTATTGTAATGTACGGAACTGCAAAAGTAATATGGCTGAAAACGCGTGTGCGAATTTCAGTGCAATTCAAACATGACTCCAAATGTAAATGCAAACGCATTTATAGCTAACGTTATAACAATCGCAAATGAAAATGTCGTTTCAAGCGGAAATACAAATGCAAATGCAAATGCTAATTTAATTGCAAACGTGAATGCAAACGCAAATGTAGATGCAAATGTAAATGAAAAGGCAAATGCAAATAAAAATGCAAGCGCGAATCTTAAAGTAAATGCAATCGTAGATGCAAATGTACGCAAATATAAGCGCAAATGTAAGTGCAAACGCAAGTGCTATAGTAAACACGGATCAAATGTGACCGGAAAAGCAGATGAAAATGCACACGCAAATGCAAATAAAAATTCAAAAGCAAGTGCAAATGTAAACGCAAACGCAATTGCAAATACTAATGCATTTGCAACTGTTATTGTCAATGCAAACGCAAGTGCATATGTGGGTGTAAGAGCAATTGCTTAAGTAACTGCAAATGAAAAGCTGACGTAATAACCTGCAATGCACATATGATTGCAAACGTAAATTCAAACGAAAGTGCATATGTAAAGGCAAACGCAAATGCAAACATAAATACATTAGCAAATGCAAATGTAAATGCATGCGCAAATGCAAATGCAAATGCAAATGTAAATGAGAACGCAAATGCAAAAATAAATGCAAAAGCAAGTTTTGTTTTATTTGCAGACTGCAAATGTAAATGCAAATGCTGATGAAAATGCAAATGCCTTTGCAAATGCATGTGTAAATACGAATGCAATCACAAACGCAAATACAAATGGAATTGCAAATGTAAATGCAAGCGCAAATGTAAATGCAATTGCAAACGCGAATGTTATTTTATATGCCATCGCAAATTCAAATGTAAATGCGTGAGCGAATGGAAACATTATTGCAATCGCAAAAGCAAATATGAATGCAAATGCAAATGCGAAAACAAAAGCATTCGCAACAACTAACGTAACTACAAACACAAATGCAACTTTCATTGCAAACGCGAATGCAAATGTAAATGCAATCGCAAATGAAAATGCAAATGCAAACGCGAATGCAAAAGCAAGTGTGGATGAGGATGCAAATGCAAACAAAAATGCAATGGCAAATGTTAATGTAAATGCAAACGCAAATGCAGATGCTTATGTAATTGCAAACTTATAGGCAAATGTAATCACAAACACGGATGCAAATGTAAAAGCAAGCGCAAATGTCAATACAAATGTGAATGCAAACGCAAGTGCAAATGTTTATGTAAAGTCTGACAGTGTAGAAGCAATTATAAATGCAAATGTGAATGCAACCGCAAATGCAAATGCAAACGCAAATGCAAATATAAATGCAGACGCGAATTCAAATATGTATGCAAATAAGAATGTAAGTAAGAACGCAAATGCAAATGTAAATACAAACGCAATCGCAAATGCAAATGCAGATATAAAGGTGGCTGCACATGTAAATGCAAACGTAAATGCAAAGGCGAACGCAAATGTTATTTTAAATGCAATTGCAAATTCAAATGTAAATACGAGAGCGAATGCAAAAGTAATTGCACTGAAAATACAAATGCATTTGCAACTGTTATTGTCAATGCAAACGCAAGTGCAAATGTGGGTGTAAGAGCAAATAACAAGTGCAATGCACACATGATTGCAAACGTAAATTCAAACGAAAGGGCATATGTAAAGGCAAACGCAAATGCAAACATAAGTACAATATTAAATGCAAATGAAAATACGAAAGCAAATGCAAATCAAATTTAGATGCAAACGTGACCGCAAATATAAATTCAAATCCAAATACAAATATAAATGCAAATGTAATTACGAATGCGAACGCAAACGCGATTGCAAATGTAATTGCAAATGTAATAAATGTATTTCAAACACAAATACAAATGCTGACATAAATTCAAATACGAATGCAAAAGTAATTGCTTACGCAAATGCAAACATAAGCAGACGCAAATGCGAATATGAATGAAAATGCAAGTGCAAAAGCAAACGCATTTGCAAAAGCTGACTTAGCTACAAACGCAGAGGCAATTGTGATTGCAAGTCCGGATGCGAATGTACATGCAATTGCAAATGCGCATGTAAACATGAAAGCAAGCGAAAATGCAAATGTAGATGAAAATGCAAATGCTAACACGAATGCAAAGGCAAATGTTAATTCAAAAGCAAACGCAAACGCGAATGCGAATGTAGATACAAATACATGTGCATTTGCAAATGCAAATGCAAATGCAAATGCAAATGCAAATGCAAATGCAAATGCAAATGCAATGGCACATGCAATAGCTGATGTAAATACACAGACGAAAAACGTGCCAGCAAAACGCGGATGCAAATGTGGATAAAAACGCAAATGTTAATGTAAATGCATGTGCAAGCGCAGATAAAAACACAGTTACAAACAGAATGCAAGGACAAATGTTGACTTAAATGCAAACGCAAACGCAAAGGCAAATGTATTTTAAATGCGATTGCAAATGCAAATGTAAATGTAAGGGCGAATGCAAAATTGATAGCAAACGCAAATGCAAACATGAATGCAAACGCCGGTAACTTTTCTGCAAATGCGTATGTGATTGCAACCACTGATGCAAATATAAATGCAATTGCAAATGCGGGCATATGTAAACAATATGCAAATGTAAATGTGAATATGAATGCAAATGCAAATCAAACCTGATTTTTAATCGCAAATGCAAATGCCAATGCAAGCGCCTATGCAAAAGCTAACATAATAACAAACGCAAACGTAAATTTGCTCGCAATCGCGATTGCAAATGTACATACAGAAGTGTGTGCGAATGTAAACGTAAATGAAATTGCAAATATTAAACACAAATGTAAATGCATACGCAAATGCATATGTAAATTGCAAAAGCAAATGCAAATGCAAGCGCATGTCAATAGCCAGCGTAATTACGAGCACAGATGTAAATGTATGTGCAAATACGGATCCAAATGTAGATAAAAACGCAAATGCAACTGTAATTGCAAATACAAATGCAGATGAAAACGCAGTTGCAAACAGATGGCCAGGCAAATGTCAATTTAAATGAAACGCAAAGGAGAAAGCAAAACTAACGGCACATGTAATTAAATGCAGAAGCAACTGCAAATATAAATGCAAATGCAAGTGCAAAAGCAAACGTAAATGCAAATGCAAATGCAAATATAGATAAAAATGCGGATGCAAACACAAATGCAATTGTTAAAAATGATAAAGTAAATGCAAATCCAAACGCAAAATTAATTGCAATTATGTGGAAACGCTAATGCGAATGTAAATGCAAACGCAAATGCGAACGCAAATGCTGATATAAGTGCAACTGCAAAAGTAAGTAGTGTTAGAAGTATTGAGGCAGAGTATGGATACCGAGTACTGAAAAAAGAAACGTGGCAAAGCATCGATACCAAAAAAGAATCGCGGCAAAAGCATCGATACTACTCAGTATCGAATAATGAGTACTTTTCACCAAAATTAAACACAAGTGCAAGAGAGATCTAAAATTCTCTACAGATCAAATTCCAATATTTTGATAAATTTTATAGCTTGTATTTGATGCTTTTAAATCAGGGTCATTTTCAATATTTTGAAAAGTTTAAAACAATAATTTTTTGATACTAATTTCAAATTCGATTTAAATCAAAAAGAAAAATATTAAATAATTAAATAATACTGTGGTTTTGTAACGAAAGTACACATTCAGGGATTTAGTATCGGTTAATTTATTTCATAAGGAAAAATACTAATTATTAAAAAATAAAATAGTTTTGTGACGAAAGTATTCATTTATTAGAGAATAGCATCGTTTTGGTGCGAAAGTATTCATTTATGGATTTAGTATCGGCTGATTTATTTCAAAAGAAAAAATACTCAACAATTAGAAAATAGTATCGTTTTGTAACGAAAGTATTCATTTATGAATTTAGTATCGGCTAATTTATTTCAGAAGGAAAAATACTCAATAATTAGAAAATAGTGTCGTTTTGTGACGAAAGTATTCACTTACGAATTTAGTATAGGCTAATTTATTTTAAAAGGAAAAATACAGAAAATGGTATCGTTTTGTGAGGAAAGTATTCATTTATGAATTTAGTAACGGCTGATTTATTTCAAAAGAAAAAACACTCAATAATTAAATAATAGTATTCATTTACGCCGGGGCAATTTCGCAGACAAAATTTTTCCATAAAATATACAAAACTTATTATCGTTGATAAACATATGTTCTCGGGAGTAACAAAAATTAATTTATGGACATACAGTAATTTTGAACTCTAATTCTTTTATTTGTTGTTAATCAGTGGCTTCGAACTGGGGTCATTCATATTCTTTAACAAAAACCGTATCGCACTCGACTTATTGCCTGTTTCGTTCGTTATCTATGAAGAGCGGAGAATGAGTGGTGTTCATAAAATGCGGTCGAACTTTTGGTGGGGTCAAAAAATGTAGCTGATACTTTATGCGTAGAATCGGCGCAAAGTATCGATACCGCCAAAAGAATCGGCCCGAAGTATCGATTTCAAAAGTACACAGTATCGAAGTCAAAGTATGCATACTTACTCAGTATCGATACTATCGTTGTAACACTAAATGTAAGTGCCAGCGCAAGCGCAAATGTAAATAAAAAAGAAAATGCGAATATAAATGCAAAAGCAAATGTATATGTAAATACAAGCACAAAAACCAAGTGGAAATATAAGTGCAAACGCATATGCAAATGTAGACGCAATAGCGAATGCAAACGCGAATTTTAAGGCCAGCACAAATGCAAATGTAAATGATAATGCAAAACGCAAGTGTGAATATGATTACAAATGCAAACGCAAATGCTAATGCAAATGCGATTGCAAAAGCAATTGCAGATGTAAAGCCTAACGCAAACGCAAACGTGAGTGCAAAAACAAGTGCAAATGTAAATACAAACACAAATGAATATATAAATGCAAACGCAGGTGCGAACGCAAATGCAAATGTAAACGCAATAATACAAATGCAAACGCAAATGAAAATGTAGACGCAAACTTGACTGCAAACTTGAATGCAACAGCTAATGTAATTGCAAATGTAAATGCAAACGCAAATGCTACAACTAATGCATTCGCAACTGTTATTGTAGAGGCGAACGCAAATGCAAATGTGGATGCTAGAGCAAATGCAAATGCAAACGTAAATAAGAACGCAAATGCAAACGCAAATGTTAATGTATTTGCAAACCCAAATGCAATTGTAAATGCAAACGTAAATGTAGATGTGATTACGAACGCAAATACAAATGCAAATGTAAATGCAAACTTTCGTTCGAAAGTTACGTGAATATATAAACGCAAATTCAAATGTAAATGCAAGAGCGAATGCGAAAGCAAACGCATTTGCAACAACTAACGTAACTATAAACACAAATGCAACTTTAATTGCAAACGCGAATGCAAATGTAAATGCAATCGCGAATGAAAATGTAAATGCAAATGCAAATTTAGATGAAGATGCAAATGCAAACACAAATGCAATGGTAAATGTAAATGCGAACGCAAATGCAAATGCAAATGTAAATGTTAATACAATCGCAAATGCAATTACAAATGCAAACGCAAATGTCATTGTAAATGCAAACGCAAATGTTATAGTAAATGCAAACACATATGCAAATGTGAATGCAAAAGCAAATGCAAATGCAAATGCATACGTAAATGCAAAAATGTAAATAGGCAGATGTAAATGCAAACGCTAAAGCAGATGTAAATGCATACGCAAATGCAAATAAAAATGCAAACGCAAATGCAAATGTAAATGCCAACGCAAATGCAAAAGTAAATGCAAATGCAAATGCAAATGCAAATGCAAACGCAAACGCAAATTTATTTTAAAACGCAAATGCAAATGCAAATGTAAGGGCCAACGCAAATGCAAATGCAAATGATAATACAATCGAATATGCAGATATAAATGCAAGCGCAATCTCAAACGCAAATGCAAATACAAACACATATGCAAATGTGAATACAAACGCAAAAGCAAACTTGGTTGCAGTAACAAGTGCAAATGTAGATGAAAACGCAAATGCAAAGGCAAATATTAATGTAAATGCGAATGCAATGGCAAATGTGCAAAAAGAAAATGCGTAACGCGCGAAGCGGGCGCAAGTGCATATGTAAAAGTAAAAGCGAATGCAAATGTAAATGCAAACGCGAATGCAAATGCAAATGTAAATGTTAAATGCAATAGCACATGCAAATACAAATACAAATGCAAATTTAGTAATTTAGCGTTAGTAACTTAGCAGTTGCATATGCATTTGCATATGCGTTTACATTTGCATTTGCGGTTGCATTTATATTTGAATTTGCATTAGTGTTTATATTTGCATCTACACTAGCATTTGCACAGGCATTTCATTTGCATTTGCGTTTGCTTTTACATTTGTATTTATATTTGCGCTTGCTTTTACAATTGCATTCTCGTTTGCGATTACGTTTTCCCATAAGTTTAAAATTACACCACCATTTGCATTTGCGTGTAAATAGGCAGATGTAAAAGCAAACGCTAAAGCAGATGTAAATGCAAACGCCAGTGCCTATATAAAGGCAGACGAAGGTGCTAAGCCAAATGCAAATACAGATTTCAATGCGAATAAATACGTAAGTGCGAACGCAATTGCAAATGTAATTAAAAAACGCAAGCGCAAGCGCAAATGTATGTGCGTTGGCACATACATTTGCGCTTGCGAATGCAAATATAAATGCAAATGCAAATGTAAATACAAACGCAATTGCAAATGCAAATGTAGATACAAACTTGGCTGCAAATGTAAATGCAAATGCAAAGGCATATGTAAATGCAAATGCAAATAAAAATGCAAACGCAAATGCAAATGTAAATGCCAACGCAAATGCAAAAGTAAATGCAAATGCAAATGCAAATGTAAATGCAAAAGCAAATGCAAATTTAATTTAAAACGCGAATGCAAATGCAAATGTAAGGGCCAAATCAAATGCAAATACAAATGATAATACAATCGAATATGCAGATATAAGTGCAAGCGCAATCTCAAACGCAAATGTAAATACAAACACAAATGCAAATGTGAATACAAACGCAAAAGCAAACTTGGGTGCAGTAGCAAGTGCAAATGTAGATGAAAACGCAAATGCAAACACAAATATACGTAAAAACAAACGCAAGTGCCAATACAAATGCACATGCAGAGACAAACGCAGAAGTAAATGGGAACACAAACGCAAATGCGAGAGCGATCGCAAACGTGAGTGCAAATGTTAATGCAAACGCAAAAGCTGATGTAAATGCAAACGCCAGATTTCAATGCCAAATGCAAATGCAGATTTCAATGCGAATAAATACGTATGTGCGAACGCAATTGCAAATGTAATTAAAAAACGCAAGCGCAAGCGCAAATGTAGGTGCCAACGCATATGCAAATATAAATGTAAATGCAAATGTAAATACAAACGCAATTGCAAATGCAAATGTTGATACAAACTTGGCTGCAAATGTAAATGCAAATGCAAAGGCATATGTAAATGCAAATGCAAACGCAAACTCAATTGCGAATGCAATTGCAAATGTAAATGCAACCGCAAACGCAAATGCTTTATTGATATTTTAAATGCAATCGCAAAATCAAATGTAAATGCAGTGGCAAATGCTAAAGTAATTGCAAAAGCAAATGCAAATATAAATGCAAATGCAAATGCGAAAGCAAACGCATTTGCAACAACTAACGTAACCACAAACACAAATGCAATTTTAATTGCAAACGCGGAAGCAAATGTAAATGCAATCGCAGATAAAAATGTAAATGCAAACGCGAATGCAAATGCAAATGTAGATGAAGATGCAAATGCAAACACAAATGCAACGTCAAATGTTAATGTAAATGCGAATGTAAACGCAAGTGCAATGTAAGTGCACACGCAAATGCAAATGGTGGTGTAATTGTAAACTCATGGGAAAATGTAATCGCAAACGAGAATGCAATTGTAAAAGCAAGCGCAAATATAGATACAAATGTAAAAGCAAACGCAAATGCAAATGAAATGCGTATGCAGATGCTAGTGTAGATGCAAATATAAACGCTAAAGCAAATTCAAACATAAATGCAACCGCAAATGCAAATGTAAACGCATATGCAAATGCATATGCAACTGCTAAGTTACTAACGCTGAATTACTAAATTTGCGTTTGCATTTGTATTTGCATGTGCTATTGCATTTAACATTTACATTTGCATTTGCATTCGCGTTTCCATTTACATTTGCATTCGCTTTTACTTTTACATATGCACTTGCGCTCGCTTTTACGTTCGCATTTTCTTTTTGCACATTTGCAATTGCATTCGCATTTACATTAATATTTGCCTTTCATTTGTGTTTGCATTTGCGTTTTCATCTACATTTGCACTTGCTACTGCACCCAAGTTTGCTTTTGCGTTTGTATTCACATTTACATATGTGTTTGTATTTGCATTTGCGTTTGAGATTGCGCTTGCGTTTATATCTGCATATTCGATTGTATTATCATTTGCATCTGCATTTGCGTTGGCCCTTACATTTGCATTTGCATTTGCGTTTTAAATTAAATTTGCATTTGCGTTTGCATTTGCATTTGCATTTGCATTTACTTTTGCATTTGCTTTGGCATTTACATTTGCACTTGCGTTTGCATTTTTATTTGCATTTGCGTATGCATTTACATCTGCTTTAGCGTTTGCATTTACATCTGCCTATTTACATTTTTGCATTTACGTATGCATTTGCATTTGCATTTTCGTTTACATTTACTTTTGCATTTGCTTTTGCATTTACATTTGCATATGTGTTTGCGTTCACTATAACATTTGCGTTCGCATTTACAATGACATTTGCGTTTGCATTTGTAATTGCATTTGCGATTGCATTAACGTTTACATTTGCATTTGCATTTGCGTTCGCATTTACATTTACCATTGCATTTGTGTTTGCATTTGCATCTTCATCTAAATTTGCATTTGCATTTACATTTTCATTTGCGATTGCATTTACATTTGCATCCGCGTATGCAATTAAAGTTGCATTTGTGTTTATAGTTACGTTAGTTGTTGCAAATGCGTTTGCTTTCGCATTCGCTCTAGCATTTACATTTGAATTTGCAATTGCATTTGAAATAACATTTGCGTTTGCATTTGCGTTTGCATTTACATTTGCAATTACATTTGCATTTGCTTTTGCGTTTGTTTTCGCATTTACACATGCATTTAGAATTGCGTTTGTATTCACATTGGCATTTTGCGTTCTTACTTACATATTTATTTGCATTTGCCTTTGCGCTTGCGTTTGCGTTTATATATTCACGTAACTTTCGAACGAAAGTTTGCATTTACATTTGCATTTGTATTTGCGTTCGTATTCACATTTACATTTACGTTTGCATTTGGGTTTGCAAATACATCAACATTTGCGTTTTTATTTACGTTTGCATTTGCATTTGCTCTTGCATCCACATTTGCATTTGCGTTCGCATTTACAATAACAGTTGCGAATGCATTAGTTGTAGCATTTGCGTTTGCATTTACATTTGCAATTACATTAGCTTTTGCAGTCAAGTTTGCGTCTACATTTTCATTTGCGTTTGTATTTGTATTATTGCGTTCACATTTGCATTTGCGTTCGCACCTGCGTTTGCATTTATATATTTATTTGTGTTTGTATTTACATTTGCACTTGTTTTTGCACTCACGTTTGCGTTTGCGTTAGGCTTTACATCTGCAATTGCTTTTGCAATCGCATTTGCATTAGCATTTCCGTTTGCATTTGTAATCATATTCACACTTGCGTTTTGCATTATCATTTACATTTGCATTTGTGCTGGCCTTAAAATTCGCGTTTGCATTCGCTATTGCGTCTACATTTGCATATGCGTTTGCACTTATATTTCCACTTGGTTTTGCTCTCACGTTTGCACTCGCGTTTGTATTTACATTTGCATTTGACTTTACATTTACATCCGCATATGCAAACCCGAACGCAAACGCAAACGCAATATACATTTGTCTTTGCATTTGTGTTTGCTTTTGCATTTTCATCTACAATTGCATTTGCATTTGCTTTTGCATTTGCTTTCGTATTCGCGTTTTGATTTTGCGGTTGTGTTCACATTCGCATTCGCGTTTGCAATCACGTGCAGTTGCATTTGCATTTGCTTTTGCGATTGTATTTACATCAGCCTACGTGTTTGCTACTACATTTACATTTGCATTTGCCCTTGCGGCTCGTACTTACATTTGCTTTTGCGTTTGTATTTGAAATTGCATTCGCGGTTGCGTAAGCACTTATTATCGCACATGTATTTGTGATATCATTCACATTTGCATTTGCGCAGGCCGTTACATTTGTATTTGCATTCGTGTTTGCATTAACAATTGCAGTTGTTTTTGCATTTATATTTGCATGCGTGTTTTCTTTTACATTTGCACTTGCTTTTGCATTTACATTTGCCTTTGCGTTTTGGTTTACAATTCCAATCGCTCCTCCATTTATATTTGCATTCGCGTTTGATTTTATATTTGCACATGCGTTTGCGTTTACATTTGCCGTTGCAGTCACGTTTGTATCTATATATACATCTGTATTTGCGATCGCATTTAAAATGCATATGCATTACATTTGCATTCGCTTTTGCATTGGCATTTAAATTAACATTTACCTTCTGTTGCATTCTGTTATTTACATTTACAACTGCATTTGCGTTTGCACTCGCATCCGTCAGCTATTGCATATGTGCTTGCATTTGCATTTGCATCTGCAAATGCATCTGTATTTGCATCTACATTTGCATTCACGTATGCGTTTGCATTTAAATCAACGTTTGCCTTTATTTCTGTTTGCAACTGATATTACATATGCATTTGCATTCGCATTTATACTTAGAAATGCGTTCGCAACTACACCTGTTCTTGTGTTTGCATTTACACCCGCATTTGCATTGCAGTTTGCGTTTACATCTGCATCTGCGTTTGCATCTACATTCGCCTTTGCCTTTGCATTTCCATTAACATTGCATTTGTATTCGAGTTTGCATTTGCGTCTGCTATTCTATTTACTCCTGCGTTTGTCATCTCGTTTATATAAGCATTTGCATGTGTGCTTGTATTTACATATACATTTGCTTTTGCATTTATATTCGCATTTTCTGTTTTATTTACATTTGCGCTTGCGCTGGCACTTACATTTAGTGTTACAACGATAGTATCGATACTGAGTAAGTATGCATACTTTGACTTCGATACTGTGTACTTTTGAAATCGATACTTCGGGCCGATTCTTTTGGCGGTATCGATACTTTGCGCCGATTCTACGCATAAAGTATCAGCTATATTTTTTGACCCCACCAAAAGTTCGACCGCATTTTATGAACACCACTCATTCTCCGCTCTTCATAGATAACGAACGAAACAGGCAATAAGTCGAGTGCGATACGGTTTTTGTTAAAGAATATGAATGACCCCAGTTCGAAGCCACTGATTAACAACAAATAAAAGAATTAGAGTTCAAAATTACAGTATGTCCATAAATTAATTTTTGTTACTCCCGAGAACATATGTTTATCAACGATGATAAGTTTTGTATATTTTATGGAAAAATTTTGTCTGCGAAATTGCCCCGGCGTAAATGAATACTATTATTTAATTATTGAGTGTTTTTTCTTTTGAAATAAATCAGCCGTTACTAAATTCATAAATGAATACTTTCCTCACAAAACGATACCATTTTCTGTATTTTTCCTTTTAAAATAAATTAGCCTATACTAAATTCATAAGTGAATACTTTCGTCACAAAACGACACTATTTTCTAATTATTGAGTATTTTTCCTTCTGAAATAAATTAGCCGATACTAAATTCATAAATGAATACTTTCGTTACAAAACGATACTATTTTCTAATTGTTGAGTATTTTTTCTTTTGAAATAAATCAGCCGATACTAAATCCATAAATGAATACTTTCGCACCAAAACGATTCTATTCTCTAATAAATGAATACTTTCGTCACAAAACTATTTTATTTTTTAATAATTAGTATTTTTCCTTATGAAATAAATTAACCGATACTAAATCCCTGAATGTGTACTTTCGTCACAAAACCACAGTATTATTTAATTATTTAATATTTTTCTTTTTGATTTAAATCGAATTTGAAATTAGTATCAAAAAATTATCGTTTTAAACTTTTCAAAATATTGAAAATGACCCTGATTTAAAAGCATCAAATACAAGCTATAAAATT